TTCTGCAAAGAATATTATTACTTTTGAAAATAATTGAATTGTTTTTTAGAATTTAAGGAAATTTATGAAAATAATTAAATTCTTGTGAAGAATTTTTTTTAAAATAATATTTAAAGAATTTAGTAAATGTGAAGAATTTTGCGGGACGCATGAATAATCTCTAGAAATCATTAGTTACACTGAGAGACCTTTGGGTCACTTTATTTTTTTATTTTTTTTTATTTTTTTTTATTTTATTTTTTTTGGTCACTTATTCTACTTTTGCTTCCATTATTATTATTATTATAAACCATTTTTACTATCAGCCCCTCTATTGTTCGTCATTTTTCGTTCGGTATTTTCAATATTAAAAAATATAACATAATTATAAATAAAATAAAATATAAAATAATAATAAAAATATAACAGAAATAAAGGATTGTGTTAGAAAATAATGTAGATGGTGACGCTTTAAAACGGAAAGTGGACCGACAAAGCAATTTTAAACGTACTATCTACCACATAGTGCACTTTTCATGTATTCTCCATAATTTTTGGATAAAAAATGTGCACTATCTACAGTTTTATTATAATAAATAATTAAAATTAATAATTTTTTTTGCACCAATGAAAAGAGTGTGTCCGAATTAGTCAAGAACATAAGTTTGTTTACAACATTTTTAATTTTATTAAAAGATCCAGATGCAAACGCGTTTCCTTCAATATCTCCGAATGAGCTAAAATGTAGATATAGGCCAGTCGGTGAGTGCAAAAAGTGCACAAAAGTGCAACTTGAAAAGTCTCAATAGTTTCTTGTAGTTTGGGGGCCCTATATAAGAGCCCCATGACAAACAATTCTTTTCGTACATATAATTCCATTGAATTCAAAAAAATATTATAACAAAAAAAAATTTAAATTATTTTTATATAAGTGTGTAGCATCGTTGTATTGATAGTTGAACAGGCGTGCATATGTCAACCTAATGCTACAAGCTTATATATAATTAATTTTAATTTTTTTTGTTATAATATTTTTTTGAATTCAATGGAATTATATGTACGAAAAGAATTGTTTGTCAAATGTTATAAATAATAATTAAAAATTTTTCGTTAAAAAATTTTTTGTTTTTATTATTAAAAATATTGTATTTTAAAAAAATATAAAATCATTTTTGGATTCAGCGTAAAACAATACATCAAATTAAAAAAAGGATCATTAAAATCGGTAAATAATTAACGAAGTTATGACCATTTTTGCAAATTTGAAAGGCTGAATTGAGTTGTGGCGGCGAGAGTCACGCTCCTTCGAGTACCCCCACTCCGACGTTCAGAGGTTGAAAAAAGGATACATTTACTTTTACTTGATATAAATTAAAAATAAATGCACAAAACCTTATGTCCAATTTTTTTTCATAAAATACATACATTGAACTATAAGTGGTATGAATTGCAATTAAAAATATTGATAATTAACTACACGGAAAAAATAAGTTCAGCAGATTTTACGAAACTAATTTCGCACTAGCGGATATTTAAGATTCCTAGACGAAGTTTTTCAAAAACCCAGAAACTTTCACTACTTTAAGCAGAACAATTGTCGAGAAACTGCAACCAGTGTTGTAATTTATAAAACAAGCTTGAATGTAGAAATGTTTCGTATTTTCTGGTGAACATTTTATCAGAAAATGGTAAAAATGTTTCGTGCAATCTAAAAACGCGTGGTTTGAGTTTTCACTTCGCTGTCTATCGTGAATCCTCGAACACAGAGTTTCGTTAAATTCTATACGGGGTGTACCAAAAGTCGCGTTATAAATAGATATGTTGAAGTTTGTCTCGTCGCGTCGGTATTAACTTGTCTGCTGTATATAGAGATAATATGGAAGGAAAAAGAGAACTGCTTTACCTGCCGGTAACATTTGGATAATTGTTTTCTTTTACGTATTTCACATTTCATTGTTCCAAATTCGTAACATTTTTTATGTGCTTTTGTAATCCAAACTTTTAATTATTATTAATTTCTTTTAATTTACAGTCCAATAAATTTTATAGTTTATCATAATATTTACCGATGACAATATATATATTAATTTCTCAAGTTTTAACTGTTATTACTTCAAATTTTAGACAATTTAATATAAACATTTTTTGAGTTTGAATTTAATTTTGAAAATTTTTTGTCAATTTATTTATAATTTAAAATTAAGAATAAAATTATTTTCTAAAAATTGAAAAATTTTATAGAGATTTTATAACTAATTATAATCAAAAAATGTTATTTTAAAAACCATAAAATATTTTGTATAACTTTTAAAAAAATGATTTTTTTAAAAATTAATATTCAGTATATTGACATTTCTCACAAGCGCAGTTTTAATCTCCTCAGTTAGTATATAAAGAAACTCAATTCTTTCAATACAAGTGCGAGTTATATTGTATGTGCGTTGCGTCAGAATTCGTTTATATGTATGCGTATTTCCGTTAAGTTAGTGTCAGAATAAAATAAGCCAATCCAAGCGAACCATTGCGTTGTAGAGTGCAGTCACATGTGTCGAACCAATCATCTATCTCCTATAGAAGACGAGAAAAAATGGTCTTGAGAGCTCATTGGTACATTAAGAAATTCTTTTTTCTGCTTTATTCGTTTTTTTCTCCGTGAATATTTTTTTCCGTGGCGCATGCGCTTCAGGCTAAACATTTTACAAAACTCTTGAATTAGAACGTCCAACCGATCATTTGTGAATTCCATAGAATTTTTTTTGAGTTTTCGAGAAACGCAGTCATCATATATTACTATTGATTCTGTTTTATCTTATACTAAACTCCTCTCCGTATCCGCTATTCCAAAATTAGTTTCGTAAAATGTACTAAATTAATTTTTTCCGTGTAGTCAGGAATTTTTTGAAAAAAATAAACTAACTCCCCCCTCCTTGAAGCTAGGTCGGATTTTTTTTTGGAAAAGTTTTATGAAAACGAATGAAATTTAATTCCCTTTACACCAAATCGATAAAGTGAAAATTGACTGAGTTATTCCATTTGTTTATGTCAAAAAAACATACCCTTTTTTAACGTCTATTATTATGCACTTAGATAAGAAAAATCAATTTCCCATTTAAATGGAATCAAAGTTTGACTCCTAAACTGTACTCTCGAAGAAAAAAAAACGAAATTCGCAGGTCCATAAGTGGGGAAATTCTGTTGAAAAATTTCATGTTTTTAGTTAACAAATGGAATAAAACATAAACTATTTGTCCGATCGAGTTGACTTTTTTTTTAATTTATTCAGCTTCGCAAGGAGAATATTCCTGGTGAGTTGTAAACAAATTCAATAATTATTAACAAAGTTATTAAACAATTAAAAAAGTGCTATTTTTAATGGTTTAAATTCATTTGCAACTAAACTAATTAACCTTTTTCAACGTATGACCAATCATTTGAAAGGTATTTTTAGGCTCTACAACTTTCAATAACAACTTTTTCCTCTAAAATTTAACCGGAAGCAAGGGTCATCGAAAAACTACGTTTCTCGAACTTTGACGATTGTTTACACTATTTTTTGCAACCGGAAATCGAGAGCAAACCATGGGGCTCTTATATGGGGCCCCCAAACTACAAGAAACTATTGAGACTTTTCAAGTTGCACTTTTGTGCACTTTTTGCACTCACCGACTGGCCTAATAGTGTCTTTTTTAAAAAGGACGGCAGTAATGTAAAATAAGAGTTGTTGTAAATAAAAATTCGTATAAATAAGAATTCATTTTAATGGAAAGTACCATTAATGGAAATTGTGTTAAATGATGATTCTCATAAATAAAAATTCGAGTATTTATAAATTTGTTAATGTAAATATTCGGGTCAATTTAAAATCGATTAAACAAAAATTCGAAAAAAATGAAATTCTGCTAAAAGAAAATTCTAATAAATGAAATTCAATCATTTAAAACTTCTAACTAATGATTTCTAGAGATTATTCATGCGTCCCAATTTTGCTATTTATGGAAATAATTGAATTCTTAAAAAGAATCTTTTTACAGTTTCTAAAAATAATTGAATTCTTTTGACGAATTTTAATAAAATTTTTAAGAATAATATGATACACGGAGAAAAAAATGCTGTTGAATCAATGACATATGGGTTTGATTCATTGAATAGTGTCATAACGGGCTGCCTAACGTATATGCTGTTGTTTTGAAAGCACCGATTCTAATGATTCGATAGTATCACTTTCTTTGAAACAAAAGCATATTTCTCAAATTGACAGCATACTATGTTAATTCGAAGGTGAATCCTTTTGAATCAATAAACAAAATTTTTTAATTTAACAGTATATGCTTTTGAGTCAATGACTATAACTTTTAAATTTAAAAGCATCATTTTTATGATTCAAAAATTTGTACTCTTAATTTTTTTAGTTGTTGCTATCGATTGAATAACACCATACTGTTAATTCAATTCTTTTATGTGGTTAAATATATACCAACGATAAATTGAAAAAAGGGAATTTTTGTTCACATGTTTTTTATATACTATAATTAATTCTCACACCTTTAACACAACACTTTTTATACACATCTTTTTTTCAATTTTTCACACTAACATATACATCTTTATTATTATTTTCATTTTTCCCAACGGCTAAACACACACACACACACATACACATTCAAACACACTTATATTTTTTAGTCAGAAAAATACGGCTATTCCCAAGCGGTCACCCATCCATTTAGTAACCGCGACCAACGACGCTTAACTTCCGTGATAGACGAGAACCGCCGCGCTGCAATGTAATACATCCGCTTCTCAACGTTGGGCACTTACTTTGTGGTTAAATACCGTGCTCGAGATTTTTCGCGTATATAAGGGAATTTATATAGGGAATTTATATTTAACTAGTCATTAATTAATTAAAAGAATTTAAATAATACTTTTTTATATTGGAATCTCAAAAACGACAGGCTTAATAAACATATAAATATATGTGGGTAAGTATTTCAATAAATTTAGTACCTGTCAATGTCTCAAAACATAGTGTTCTTATTTTTATAGCATATGCTATAGGCAGTCCGCAATAGCACCACTCATTGAAACGAAAGCATATGCTTTCGTTTTCAGAGCGCCCTTCTTTGGAGCAAACAATTTTTCATTTGATTTAAATTTACACGCATTTTCTTCAAATTTATCTATTAGATGCTTCAAATGAATAATGTCAAAGAAGCAATAAATTATTCTGTTGCTATATATAGATGAACTATAGAAACAATTTGCACAATATAATTAATTCTACAGTACCGTACTTTTAATTTAAACAGTTTCATTTTTTCATTTTAAGCAATATACTTTTCGATTAATAAATGTGTCATTGAATCAATGACGGGGAATTCAATAGCATGGAGATATTTGATTCAACAGCACTTTTTTTTCAGTGTATGAAGAAAGGGAAGGAGAGACTTCGATATAATGGGGGTGACTCTCACCAGCCGGTTGGTGGTATCGCCTTACTTATATTTTTCGAGGAATTCGATTAAAATTGTATTAAAAATAATTGAAATTCTGCAATGAGTTTTACTGTTTATTTAAATAATTGAATGTATTGCAAAGAAATTTTTAAAAATAAAATTATAATTACGGTGACTAACTTCCTTTGATTATTTTCGAAAAATTTAAATAAAATTCTTTAAAGAATTTAATTATTTTTAATAGAATGTAAAGAAATTTCACTTATTTCAAAAATATTCAATTATTTGTTTATTAAAATTCAATTATCTTGAAACAATAGAATTGAAAAATTTCAAAAATCTTATTTTTCAGAATTTTCAAAAAAACTATGCGAAAATTCAATTTTATTAAAAAATTGTAAGTGTGTATCTTTTTTTAAATTAACTATGTAATAAAAATTTTAATTATTAATCTTCGCACTAAGAAACATGAATACATTAGAATGACTGTGACTCTTTATAAAATTCAATTATTTATCAATTATTAAATTAAAGTACTTTGAAAATTCGATTTGTTAAACAGTTTTTAATGAAATTCTTTAACAAATTTAATTATTTTCAGTTGAATTTCACAAAATTTCTATTAATTCGATAATTTTTTAAAAATTTATTTACATACTATATTTGAATCAGTGACTTATTTTTTATTAAATTAATTATTTTTAACTAATTCGAATTTAGTGAACAGTATAAATATCTATAAAAATTGAAATAGAAAGCGATTTTTTAGAAAGAAATAAATTAAAATAATAAACCTTTTTTTAATTTGGCGAAAAAATTCCCGGTTTTGCATAAAATTCCTGGATTATTCCCGGTTTTTCCAGGTCAAATTAAACACTGTACTAATAATAATAATAGTAATACTGTATTAAACAATTGTTCCTTTGTTAAATTTAAACAAAACTAAATTTAGTATTTGTTATATTTAATTCATATTTTATTATAAAATTGTTATCAATTACGTTTTTACATTTATTTTTCTTTCTGTTTTATATTAAATATAGGTTTTCATTTCAATCAAAAACCTACATTTTATTTATTAACTTTTTTGTAATTCAAAAAGTGGTGAAACATTTTCAAAAGACATTCATTATATTAATTAATAACATTAGTGGACGATTAATTAAATGAAAAGAATTATTTGCAGCTAGAAGGATATATTTTTAAGAGTGACGTTAAAAATGCAAAAAAAAAATCCAAAATGCCCCAGGAATTATCTATTAAAAGCTAATTATATTCAATTTCACTATAATGTTAGAAAATAAAAATTCCATTAACTTCTATAAATTATTCTCTCAGTTTAAAAAAAATTGAAAGAATTGCTGTAATTCTAATTTAAGATGTTCGTTTATCCAAACATTATTTACAAACTCAAAATTTATCAGTGAAATTGAATTGAAATAATAATAATAATTATATCTCAAGTTAAAAGTAATTTTTAAAATTTCACAAATATTGAGATATTAGGATAAAATTCCATTTCCTAAAATAAATATTCACTACCTACTTGGAAAATTTTAATTTCGAAAAAGAGAGTTTAAAAACGAAGTAAACTAAAAAAATATTAATAAAAATAGATGTTACGATATTATTTATAAATTGATTACAGTCATTAATCAAATTTGAAAAAAGATTTTGTGACGAATGACAAATCGAAACACTGAAATTTGAAAAATTACACGAGAGTAGAATAATTAGTAGAAGAATTTGAAATGTGAAACTTACCTGTTGTTGATGAGCCAGTGTTTGTTTCATGAGAACCATTTTTATACTTTGCTCCATGGCATATTTTTTGGCTTTATTCACGGTATCTTGTTGTTCAGACGATATTTTCGGTAGTCCAGCGCCCAAAATTCCAGGCAAAGTAAGATACTTTGCTCCAGGACCTAAAAATAACATTTTTTAAATTTAAAGGATTGGACTCACAAATCTTTTATTACTTTAATGTTTTCAATTAACAAGAAATCAGATCTTATCAGCAAAAACGTCCACTAAATTATAGAAATCTACATTCAATGGAACTTTAATGAAAGAGACTTCATTACAATTTTTGTTGTCACAAAAAATTAATTTCATCACAATTAAAAAAAACCTATATTTCTAACAGAGTATCTAGCGAATTATCATTTTCAAATTCCCGGATGTTAAACCATATTTAGAGACAGGAACTTTATGCTCTACAAAAACTTGTAATTATGCTGTAATTATGCATTAAAAATTAGAATTAAGCTCTTAAAAGTGTAATCTTTGTTTCTTGATTGACAAACAGAAATATTACCGCCAGTTTTTAAATGTTGATTGTGATTTTGTTCGGCAGTATTTATGGGATGTACATATTTATAAATTTAACCATTTTTATTAAATAAATTATTTAAAAATACAATATTACAAAAACCTTCTATTCATACTAATTCAATGGACAAGTTTTGGGGCCTTTAATTTTTTTTAATTCGTCAGCACGAATTCAATGCATGCCTTGGTCATTTCTTACGAATGCGAATTCGTTTGCACAACTTCAGGCAAATTGAATCGAATTCAATCGAATAGACAAAGAGCTTGAATGAATCCCGCTTTCTACCAAAAATCTTAATTCATTTCAATCCATTTGAATTAGTTTTTTTTACTGGGATGCTCAGAATGAATTATGCTGCTCTAGGACTAAATTATGCTTTTCAATGCTTTTGCAAATTGCAATTATTTATGATGAATAATACTTTTTAAACCATATTAGCCATATTATTTTCGGATTTATTATTATAAATATTAATAACTATACTATTAAAATATTAAGATTATCGGTTTCAAAAAGTCAATATACATCTGTTTTATTTAGAAAGACAGGGTGTCTACTATTTTCGTTCAACAAAATTCCAGGTTTTTTCCCGGCTTTGTCCTAATTTTTCCCGGTTTTTATTCTCATCAAATTTAAATTTATTTCATTTCGAACATAAATAAATCTACAAATGGCTTCCAAAATTTTTATTACAGTTTTTTATGAATAATTAAATTTATTCTTTTCAAAGAGTTTCTTTAAATTTTTTGAAAATAATGTTTTTTTAATCATTTTAATTAAAAATTTTGAAAATAATTGAATTCAACAAAGAATTTTTTCAATTTTTTAAAATAATCTTGTCTGTTTATAATTATAATTAAAAATTTGATTAATTCAATTTTATTAAAATGTATTGATACTAATTGAATTTCAGCAAAGAATTTTACTATTTATAAAAGTAATTGAATACTTTCAAAGAATTTTTATTACATATTTATGAAAATAATTAAATGTTTGCGTAGAATTTTATTAAAATTTTTGAAAATAATTCAATTGTGGAGAACAATTTAATTATTTATAAAGATAATTGAAATTTTATCTTAACAATTTTGCTATTTATGGAAATAATTGAATTCTTAAAAACAATTTTTTTTACAGTTTCTATAGAATTCAATTATTTCTATAGAAATAATTGAATCCCAACAAAAACATCTTTGATGCAAAAATTTCCGCCAAGTAAAAATTTTGGAAATGTCGAAATAATTAGTAAAATAAAAGTTTACCAAGTAAAATTTGTAACGAATGTATTCAATTGTATTCAATTGTAACAAATGTAGAATTTAATTTAATTATTAACATAATCAGCTAATGAAATCCAATTGTTCGTCTTAATAAAAAATTTCTATTTGAAGCAATTTTAAGATCTTGGCGTCAATACTTTCATTAATTATAAGTTAGAAACATTATTGACGCCAAGATCTTAAAATTGCTTCAAATAGAAATTTTTTATTAAGACGAACAATTGGATTTCATTAGCTGATTATGTTAATAATTAAATTAAATTCTACATTTGTTACAATTGAATACAATTGAATACATTCGTTACAAATTTTACTTGGTAAACTTTTATTTCACTAATTATTTCGACATTTCCAAAATTTTTACTTGGCGGAAATTTTTGCATCAAAGATGTTTTTGTTGGGATTGAAATACTTTTTGCATCATAATTAAATTCTAGGGTCTTTTATAAAACTGTTTAGTAGTTCAGGCTCTACATTTATCTAGATGTCAAATCCAATTTTTTAGAGAAAAATATAAATATTTCAATATTTGGATTTTTGTAAAAAAAATAAAATTTTTTGATATTTAGACAAACGCAGAGACTAAACTTCAAAACGGATATGTAAAATATTCTAGAATATTATTGTTTGGATTAGAATCTGGATATATATTGCAGGAAATTTAAATAGACTTTGTATTTATTAAAATATTTTGATTTTTCTATAAAAAATTGAATTTTTCGACATTTAGACAAACGTAGAGACTAAATTACTTAACAGATTTATAAAATATTCTAGAATATTATTGATTGGAGTATAATCTTGATATATATTGCAGGAAATTTTAATACATTAAAAAGTTTAGTCTCTACGTTTGTCTAAATTTAATTAAATTTTATTTTTTTTAGAAAAATCAAAATTTTTCAAAAAATACGAAGTGTATTAAAATTTCCTGAAATATATATCGAGATTTTAACCCAATCAATGATATTATAGAATATTTTACACTTCCGTTTAGAAGTTTGCTCTCTACGTTTGTCTAAATGTCAAAATATTCCATTTTTTTGAGAAAAATCCAAATTTTTCAAAAAATACGAAGTATATTAAAATTTCCGGAAATGTATATCGAGATTTTAACCTAATTAATAATATTTTAAAATATTTTAGAAATCCATTTAGGAGTTTACGCTCCACGTTTGTCTAAATCTCAAAAAATCGATATTTTTTCGGTTTTCCTAGTTTAAATTCTATAAAAGTATCAAAAATATTCAAATAAACTTGACAGAATTCTTTCTTTTTTGATTCTTTATCCAACAAAAAAAGAATGAGGCAAATCGGTTGAGATTTACTTATTTTTGAAAATAATTGAATATATTGGGAAGAAATTTTTAAAAATAAAATTATAATTACGGTGACTAACGTCCCTTGATTATTTTCGAAAAATTTAAATAAAATTCTTTAAGAGAAATTAATTATTTTAAATAGAATGTAAAGAAATTTCAATTATTTCAAAAATTTTTAATTATTTGCTTATAAAAATTACGGGTTTTAGTGGGTCGGGCTGGCAGTAGGTCGCCAGTTTATTAAATTAATTATGTTATTTATTTTTATATATTTCCTTTTGTTTTATTATACCAACCCCACATAACCTTGGAGAGCGGAATCCTAGGTATCTGTAGGCAGATTTCCCAAAATTCCCTAAGCAAAAATAAAAAAAATAGATTTGAAAAATTTCAAAAATCTTATTCTTCAGAATTTTTAAGGAGGAATGGTATACCTAATCGGGCCAAAAGTTTGTGACATTTAGGGGAATTTGTAATTTTGTTATTTAAGCTACATATAGCAGTTTTTCTTATTGAAATCATAAAAGTAAACATCAATGAATATTAAAAAGTATATATTAAATAGGGAAAAGATAATAAATTAATCAAATTAATTTTTTTTATAAAAGCAGAAAATAATTTTTGTAACTGTCTGTACGAATTTGAAACCTAAGAAAATAAAAGTTACTGAAATTCTCTCAAGATTATTTTCGGATTTATCGAGTGTTCTATTGCAAACTTTGAAAAAATGCTATTATTACGTATATATGTGTCTTATTATGCTGTAATATTAATGTTATTAATTATAAACATTGTCAAATAACAATTTGTAATGAGCGTTTAATCGTGACAACCTCGCAATGCAAATAGTCTGTTTTTTGATCGTTGGTAACAGTGTCAAGTGTTATGATTTGCATTTCTGTGGTTAAAAATAATGAAAATTTGTCATTTTTGGTACCTTTGACGCCATCTCTTGGTTCTATGTACCACTAAACAGCTGTCACATGTGAGACTTTATATACAGTGTTGCCACGTTTTCTCTGTTTGTCTGTCATAAAATTAGTTTTCTTCCAGAAACTAATTAATTACTTTTAAACTAATTAGTGAATAAAAAAGAACCTTCGTGATTAATAAAGCTTAAATCTTGACCTTCAGGATAGAATTTTTACAAAAAATTCTGATTGTTTTAAGTATAAAATTTTTAATGATAAAAATGCAAATTCGTGCTTTCTCCATAAGAGGTAATGTTAAATTAAATAATTTATAACTTGTAAACTATTTAGTGAAAAGTTCTGAAATTTGGTGGGTCATTTTATTATATAAAAGCAAATCATTTCCCAAAATATCAAAAGATTCTGAATGTTTTGAATTTCTATACCATTCCTCCTTAAAAAAAAATTTGTGAAAATTCAATTATATTAAAAAATTGTAAGTGTGTATCTTTTTTTAAATTAACTATGTAATAAAAATTTTAGTTATTAATCTTCGCACTAAGACACATGAATATACATACATTAGAATGTGACTTTTTATAAGATTCAATTATTTATCAATTATTAAATTAAAATACTTTGAAAATTCGATTTGTTAAAAAGTTTTTAATGAAATTTTTTAACAAATTTAATTATTTTCAGTTGAATTTCACAAAATTTCTATTAATTCGATAATTTTTTTAAAAGTTATTTACATACTATATTTGAATCAGTGACTGATTTTTTACTATCATATTAATTATTTTTAACTAATTAAAATTTAGAGAACAGTATAAATATCTATAAAAATTGAAATAGAAAGCGATTTTTTATAAAGAAAGAAATTAAAATAATAAACCTCTTTTTAATTTGGTGAAAAAATTCCCGGTTTTGCAAAAAATTCCTGGCTTATATCAGGTTTTTCCCGGTCAAATTAAATTCCCGGTTATTTCCAGGTTTTCCTAGATTTCACGGTTAGTAGAAACCCTGAAAGATACATTCAATTTGTTTGGGTACCTATAAAAATTATTTTTGTTGATAAAATTAACAAAAACATATGTATCTAATTTAAAAAAAACCTACATTTTGTAAATTTTAGTAAAAAAATAAAATAAATATACAGAATGAATAAAAAAATGTTTAGCCGAATTCGAAATGAGGATTCTACACTTATAAAATATAAATATGTCGTTTTCTTCTAGTAATCGTTGAAAAATAAGACTTAAATTTTCTGTAGATTTTAATGAATTATCGGAACCTTTTTAAGAATTGATGGACATTTTTGAAATTTTCTGCCAATTTCCCGGTCGCTAGACCCCCTGCTGAATTCTATAATATACACTGAGAGACCTTTGGGTCAGCAGCAGACTTTCGATAGGCTGCTACTGACCATTTTGGAGGAACGCTACAGGACTATACTTTTGGGTTGCTGCGGTAAAATCTTGGGCGCGTGACAGTCCCAAAGTTGTTCAGCTCCAAACCAAAGGCGGCATTCCCACTACTTCGGTGAGCTGCTCACCAACATTTGGGACTGTCACGCGCCCAAGATTTTACCGCAGCGCACCAAAACCATAGTGGAGCTGCTGTCACATACGTTGTTCCGCTACAATCCCAAAGGTCTCTCAGTGTAGAAGAGAAAATAATTTTATTTTAGTTAAATAAAAATGCTTACTCACCAGCGACAACCTGTCCTGTTTGATTAAGATCGTAAATTGGTCCTTGCAAGTAGTCACTAGCATTTCCTGCGAAGAAATAACTGTTTAATATTTAAATTTTAATTAACAGCAAAATTTTTCCATACTTCATCCATCACACATCTTTATGAACCGTGTTTTTTAGAATTCAAAAAAAGTATTTTTCTGTGATGGAAGAGGTAAAAACCAAGGGCCGACCATTTGTTTTTTTATAATAATTCAGTGAAAGAATTTTCAGTAATTTCTTTGTTAATCTTTAGTATTTTACATCTCTAGATTAAAAAAATTCTAAAAGCGACATTATTAAAAATAAAATTCTTTACTAACTGTTAAAGATGTAAATCTCTTTCTATTTGAAGCCATAATGTAGTGTCGGTGTTTCACTCGATAAACATATAATGAACCTCAAGTTTTCAAACTGTTATTAATCTGTAAAAGTTTACAAGTTTTTTGTTTTGTTTTTTGGTCGAATCAATTTACCCTTGTTTTAGAAAGGAACGGACAAAGAATTGAATGTAATTTTTCTTTGCCGAGGGGGAAAATTTGCCTAAATGGGGATGTAAATTATACGATGCCCTCGAGCAGTATCCACAGGCGGCAGTTCCTCGAAACTGTAAGTTTAAAGAAATTAAAACAATCAAGAAATCAACTTTCTTTCTTTCTTTTTGTTGGGAAAAATTGAGAATCAGAATTCTCTTTATTACCCAAGCTGCATGCCATGAAAAACATATCTGAGATGTACTGCAACAAACGAAAGTGTTCACGGCTGAAATCGGTAGATTTTCAAAAAATGTTGGTAGCTATTTTTTCTTTTTTCAAAATTAGTTTCATCTAAAAATGGTGAATCCGATTTTATCTTTTCAAGCACTACGAAAAGAAAGGCTAAATTAGTATTTAGCTCCGATTTTTCTACACATTTTAATACTGAAATCAGCTCTAATTTAGCACTTTTCTTTTGCAGTGAGACCAATTACCTACATGACACGACCTATTTGGACTTTCAAGTTTGACTTTTTACTTTTTTACAGACCAATTTGTTTCTGCTAGTCTCTGAAACAGAAATCAGAACACGTTGGTAACGCAGCATGAAAATTTTGCCGTTTTTCAAATTGGAATATTTTGCATCAGGGCTGAGGAATTCCCGAGACAGGTGACACGGGTGACACACGATATCTGTAAGCACAAAGCAAAGGAGAACACTCTCAGTGCATTCTTTCTGTGCCAATTCCTAAAACGTTGCCTTCTCCAACCTAATACTTGTCCTAATACTTTATTTTTCTATTCAAGCAATGGCGATGTTTTTTTGTTCTTTTAAAAGAATCATTTCATCTTTTCATCAACTCTTACCTGCTTAGTTTCCAATCTAGATATTAATGAGTAGAATAATTGTCACCACCGCCTTTTCTAATTAGAAGTCTCTTTCACTTGACTTTTAATGGAAATGAAATTTTTTTAAAGCAAGAGAGACTAATAATTAGCAAGACTGAAAATCTCTAACCTAAAATGCTAACCTATCAATTATTTTTTTGACTCAGTGTCAGTAGGAGTTTGTTTTTGTTTTGTTCAACGTATGTAGCGTTCTCTTTCTTTGCTTGGCGCACGCACATGATCACAGCTCAGTCGAAGGCCACAGAATCTGTACTGTCTCTCCGCTGTAACATCTCAGAACAAAAGGACAACCATACATTAGTTTTATTTAGGGCCAACGGGTCGGGTCGCCTAACATCCTAACCATGAGACAACAAATACGAGCTAACTTTTGACTGCCTAACAATTGAGAAAACTTGTTTCTTTTTCTTCAATTCCATTTTCAACATAAATTATTATTCGCGTTCTGCTTCTGCATTCGCCTTTTTATCCATCTGTATTTTTTCTCTTTCTTTTTTTAAGTACAAATTTTTTTTTTCTTTTCAAAAACATTTTTATTTGGACAAGTAAAATACCTTCTGCTCGGAATTTCTTGCTTGGTGATTCTGAATTGTTTTGTGTGGACATCTGAAAATAATAAAAAACAATCATTTTATTATATTTAGGCAATCATTCAAGTTTTTCAGTATTTGTCCTTAACCCTCCGTCACACACCTAGGGAGGGATTCCCTCTACGGTTTCAGTATTTTTTAAATAACTTTTGTTTTCCTCATTGCAAAATATAATCAGTTTCTATACCTTTCGACAATTTACTCCTCAACACATTTCTAAAAAAACATTTAGTTTAAACATAATTAATATTTAATTATGAAGCTGCAAAGCCAGAAAAAACTCGAAAAAGTGAGGTTATGTTAAATAAAAAAATCAAGTTTCCAAAACATTTTTTGTTCCACTGTTGGTTAATGACAAAATTATATTATAAATATAATTAAAATGAATTGTTTAATGATTTTTTTGCTTATTTGTTAATGTTACATTATTTTTACATGTCAAGTGGAATTCCTTCGAAGATGTGCATTCGTGTAATTAATTTTTATTTTTGAGACCGAAAATTAATTTTATTAATTTTATAATTTAGAATAATTTACTACATATTTGTAAGTTTGTGTTAAAACTAAATTTTTGTTGATTCCTTTGTTTATGTTGTAATGTTGCTTATTTTACAATGTGGTGAGGGATTCCCTCTAAACGTGTGTAAAGTCGTAATTTTTTCCCATGTGTGTGACGGAGGTTTAAACCAAATTCAATTTTCATATTTCAAAAGATGAACAATTTCTCAAATTTTAAATCCTACTGTTTTATTTCTTTAAGTCAAATTCGTCAAATTCGTCAAAGTCGATATTGTGCAGAGAAGAAGAATAATTTTCTAAAATAACAATTCAATTTTTATGGCAAGAAAAACGTAAATCACGAAAATCACGAAAATCAATAATCACAGTGACACCAAAGTGAGATCGAAAATAGACTGGGAAATAAAAATACTATACATTAAAATGTAGTAGTTAAAATCAAAACATTAATTAACAGTGCTTCAAATATTATTAGAAACTACTCTAGACAATACATTTTTTTTATAAAATTAAGAATGCAAACGTCGCCATTACTGTAACGAAATTGGCTAATCTGTGTTAAAAAATCAAAAGCTGTTTTCAGAATAGAAAATAATTATCTTACCATTGATATTGTACCGTTCATTTTAGCAGTTGTTAACTGCTCGACTTTTGACACTATTATTTACACTAACAATAAATATAAGCGACGATTGTTTGATTGTAAATACAGAAATAATTGTAGAGTCAATCCTTTCCTTCTTGACTGTCGTGTATCTTCCGGAAGTTGTTAGCACTCAGGAAAGTTCTTACTGCCAAGTTCAAATGAACTTCTAAATTCAAATGACAACATATTACTTATTTACTTAAAAGGTAAAATTCCGAAAATGAACTTTATTAATAGAATTAATTATTTAATTTGCAACTGTTATGTTTCAACTTTGTGAAACAAAGTTATAGAGTTTAAAAATATTTTAAATTACATTATTTAGTTGACTTAATGGAGCTCTCACAGCTCTGCCTGCCTGCGCAGGCAGTAATTGGAGTAAGAGAGAAAATCAATTAGAGTGAAAGAGACAGTAAATTCAAATTTAGAGACGCCTTATTTTGGCCTAAATTCTAAAAGTTAGAAAAACCATTTGTTAGAATTTCAAAAGTTAGAATGTTTATTTGTTAGAATTTCCAAAAGTTAGAATGTTTATTTGTTAGAATTTCCAAAAGTTAGAATGTTTATTTGTTAGAATTACCAAAAGTTAGAATGTTTATTTGTTAGAATTATTAAAAGTTAGAATGTTTATTTGTTAGAATTTCTAAAAGTTAGAATATTTATTTGTTAGAATTTCCAAAAGTTAGAATGTTTATTTGTTAGAATTATTAAAAGTTAGAATGTTTATTTGTTAGAATTACCAAAAGTTAGAATGTTTATTTGTTAGAATTATTAAAAGTTAGAATGTTTATTTGTTAGAATTTCTAAAAGTTAGAATGTTTATTTGTTAGAATAGCCAAAAGTTAGAATATTTATTTGTTAGAATTTCTAAAAGTTCGAATGTTTATTTGTTAGAATTACCAAAAGTTAGAATGTTTATTTGTTAGAATTATTAAAAGTTAGAATGTTTATTTGTTAGAATTTCTAAAAGTTAGAATATTTATTTGTTAGAATTATTAAAAGTTAGAATGTTTATTTGTTAGATTGTCCAAAAGTTAGAATGTTTATTTGTTCGAATAGCCAGAAGTTAGAATGTTTATTTGTTAGAATTTCCAAAAGTTAGAATGTTTATTTGTTAGAATAGCCAAAAGTTAGAATATTTATTTGTTAGAATTTCTAAAAGTTCGAATGTTTATTTGTTAGAATTACCAAAAGTTAGAATGTTTATTTGTTAGAATTATTAAAAGTTAGAATGTTTATTTGTTAGAATTTCTTAAAGTTAGAATATTTATTTGTTAGAATTTCCAAAAGTTAGAATGTTTATTTGTTAGAATTATTAAAAGTTAGAATGTTTATTTGTTAGATTGTCCAAAAGTTAGAACGTTTATTTGTTAGATTCCCCAAGTGTTAGAATGTTCATTTGTTAGAATTTTTTTTGAGCAGCGAGTTTCCTTTCTATGTTACTGTTAGGCCTTAACTTCATTTACCATTTGTCCCAACAGTGTACAAGATTCTTCGTACACATGTTAGATGGAGCCAGAAGTAGTATTTACTGTATTTAAAGAAACATATGCTGTAGCAATTTTTTGATCTTGACAGTATATACACAATTTACAAAATATTAGTTTTTAATGAAAAATTCTAATACTATATGAAAAATATAATATTTTCCAGATAATAATTGAATGCTATTATTTAACTTTATATTTTTTGCCTCGTAAAATTTTATGTTTGTGTATAATAAAACTATATTAAAATGCTTTTAATATTATATATGTGACATCATAATGTCAATTTGACACAATTTTTTTGTCAAATATTTTCAGAGTTTTCTAGCGACTAAAAATGGTTAATTTAAACAGAACGAGTGATTTTTGAGCGAACTTTGGGTAAACTTTTTTTTTCTTTAGACAATATTAAATCGCAACAAAAATATCTTCGATGAAAAAAGTTACGCAATTCAAGTTTATATTTGTCCGAATTATAACTTTTACTTGTTAACCAATTAATGCGGGGTTGCCACAAGTCAGGGTAAGACAGGGAAAAGTCAAGAATTTTTAATAAAAGTACTGGAAAAAATTAAATTTTTAGAATTTATTAAAAAATTCGGAATTTTTGGGTCTTTTTTGTTTGCCTCATAAACTATGAAGTTGACAAGAATTCTAATACAAACCCTTCAATTTTTTCTATTTCTAACAATAATTTCTTTTTATGTAACTTCATTCTTGAAGAACTATCAATTATTATTCATTAAATAATTTATAAGTAATAAGTTTACTTAAAAATATCAAAATTAATTAGATTTCAAAAGAGTTGCGTTCACAACTTTATAAATAGATAAACTTCAAAGGTTTCAATTTGAAATTTTAGAAAATATCAATTATTCAATTATTTTCAAAAATTTTCCTCATTTCCATTATTTTTAATATTTACTATTTTAATAAAATTTTCCAAAAGAATTCCATTACTTGAACAAAATTTTAATAAAAATTTAACAGGAACTCAAATACTTACCAAATTTTTATAAATTTCTTCGTATATCAATTCAATTATTTTTATTTTTTTAATGAAGTTTCTCCAAAGAATTCAAATATATTCAGAGAATTGAAAAAATAGTTCTGAGAAATTCATTTATTTCGAAAAATTTAAATAAAATTATTTTAAAAGTTCTATTATTTTGAAAAATTTTGACAAAATTTTTTACAAGATTTAGTTAATTTAAAGTTCTCCTATATACAATTCGATACCTCCATGTATTACAATCCTATCTTATGGTGAAGGTTAATACAGTCCTATCTTGCGGTAACGTTCTATACAGTTCTATCTTGAAGTAACGCTTTATACCATTCTATCTCAAATTTTCCAATTTTGCGTAAGAGCCAAATTAAAAGTAAATTCCATATTAAAAATATTAATGACAGTTTGATATTCATAAGATAATTTTTATGTAATTCTTTAAAGATTTTTCTATCATAATATACATAAATAAAACACAATTATATAAAATCAAGCCAAGAAAATGCATTCTTAATACTTCTACAAAGGTTAATTAACCTAATTTTATGACAGGTTAATATTTCACGGGATAGTGGAATGATAAAAATAATGTTGTTAGTTTTCTTGTTTAATTTTAATTATCAATTATTATTAGTTAAAATAAACGTATCATTTTTATGAGTTTTAAGTATAGATACAAATATTTAAATAAGTAAGTAAACGAGGTTTTGATTGTAGAAAATTTTTACACAAGTGAGAATACAAATAGAATAATAATAAAATAATTTTAAAATCTACATTATTTTACTGTAATAAACGTTGAAAACGTCACTCCAATATAGAATTTATAAGTATGTTTCAAGGATTATATTATACTAGTATTTTATTATATATTTCACAAACGATAACAAGATTATAAATTACAATATAATTATAATAATAAAAGTATCTGTAATATTAGTCAAAATAGTCAATCCGAGTCTGAATTCGAATGATCTCAATTTCTACGTCAGAACAAGTCTCTCCTGGTGTAAGAAAAGTTAAAATAAAGCAAAATTAACAGATAAAATAATCACTTTATAAATTTATATATTTTTATTATTATTCAGTAAAGAATTTTTTCCTGATGGCATACTTAAATCCAAAGGGATATCCATTTTCTACCTTTTGTTCTTTTTTGCTTTTCTAACACGATTATACGAATCACATGTGTATATTTTTTTTGACAGATACAAAAACAAAAGAAAGATAGAACACTTTTACTTGGAAGATAAAACTTGTTATTATTTCTAATTACTGTTTTTTATAAATATCCTAATTAATATAACTATTTTAGGTGTTACCATCTAATACAGAATATTTTCTTCTATAATTTTATCAAAAAACTGAAAAATTGAAAATTTTGAGATAGAATGGTATAAACCGTCACTTCAAGATAGAACTGTATAAAACGTTACCGCAAGATAGGACTGTATTAACCTTCACCGTAAGATAGGATTGTAATACATGGAGGTATCGAATTCAATTATCTTAAATATACAATTCTTCTTCAGAATTTAATTATTAATAAAAAAGTTGAATAAACTTCTTCTCTTGAAATCAATTATTTTCATAACTAATAAAATTTTTCTTGAGAATTCAATTATTTAAAAAAAAATTTGATAAAATGCTTTTATAAATTTGAAAAATGAAAATAAAATTGGTCATAGAATACAATTATTTTCGTAAAATACAACATTCTTCCTAGGAATACAAATAAATTTTTATTTACATTGTTCAAAGGTAATTAAAATTTAAAAATTATTATAAAATAATTCCAATAATTAGTCAAATAATTAATTTTCTGAAACTAATTGAATTACTCAAAAGAATTTTTGTATAATTTAAAAAAAACTAATTAAATTTTTGATGAATTTGAATTAAAAATTTTGAACATGATTGTTTTCCCCAAAATGTTGAAAAATAATTCTAAAATATTATTATTTTTGTATGTATTTGAATTTTTGGAAATATGTTATTGAAAACACTGAAAATATTGAAAAAAAGTATCAATTTTCTTAATTTCCCTGACAAAAAATTTTTGTCATGAAATTTTCTAGATTTTACTGACAAAAAATTTGTTTCCCTGACATCTCCCTGACTCTACTGACGTTTATCCGACCGGAAATAATTTGTAGATTTAATGATAGTTTTTTCGATTTGAAAACAAATACAAGGTGATGAAGCAATTCTGACTTCATATTCGTTTTCAGCGGGTAAAAATACTACAAGACATGTAGATCTGATTTAATAAACAGGCCACTTTTATTTTTTTGTGTACCTTTGTTAATGATTTTCAATATTATTAATGCTTCTTTCTTATTTGGATATTATTCGATAATACTCGACTTGTTGTCGCAATATCTTTTTTAAGAAAGGATTAAAAGAAAATTAAGAAAGTTTAAACAATTTTACAAAAGTAGACAAAATTTTATTCAAATCATTATCTATTATTAATAATGAAACAATATAAAAGGATTATAATTATAATTTTAATGAAAAACTTTTTGCACCGTTGTGTAAGGAGTTTTACAAAACGGGCACTTTTTTGTTGGAGTATTTTTATAAATATTCCAGCATCTTTCGCAAATTTTAAAATGTCCGCATGGCATAAATAAATGAGTGGAATATAACGTCCAACAAATGCAACTTTTTAAAATAAATTGTGTCTGTTAATAATTGTAATCAAATATTTAATTTTTTAAGTTTATTAAAATTACATTGAAATTAGAGCTGTGCAAAATTCGAACCAAACAGAGTTTTATTCGGTTTTGGACGCCGAAATGTCGAATGTCGAATATTCGATATCCGAACTGGGCTAGTTCGAATGGCGAATTTTCGACATTAGAACTAAGCTAACTCGAATGTCGAATATTCGACCTAGGCGAAAAAATTCGAACAGTTCGGTTCGAATTATTTTGCACAGCTATAATTGAAATTAATTAAATTTCTGAGGAGAATTTTATTATTTATAAAAAATAATTTAATTCTTGCGATAAATTTGACTTCTTATAAAAATAATTGAATTGTATCGAATAATTTAATTATTAATTAAATATTAAATTTTTTCAGAAATCAAAGTTTCAAAATGCCATGCGGACATTTTAAAATTTGCGAAAGATGCTGGAATATTTATAAAAATACTCCAACAAAAAAGTGCCCGTTTTGTAAAACTCCTTACACAACGGTGCAAAAAGTTTTTCATTAAAATTATAATTATAATCCTTTTATATTTTTTCATTATTAATAATAGATAATGATTTGAATAAAATTTTGTCTACTTTTGTAAAATTGTTTAAACTTTCTTAATTTTCTTTTAATCCTTTCTTAAAAAAGATATTGCGACAACAAGTCGAGTATTATCGAATAATATCCAAATAAGAAAGAAGCATTAATAATATTGAAAATCATTAACAAAGGTACACAAAAAAATAAAAGTGGCCTGTTTATTAAATCAGATCTACATGTCTTGTAGTATTTTTACCCGCTGAAAACGAATATGAAGTCAGAATTGCTTCATCACCTTGTATTTGTTTTCAAATCGAAAAAACTATCATTAAATCTACAAATTATTTTCGGTCGGATAAACGTCAGTAGAGTCAGGGAGATGTCAGGGAAACAAATTTTTTGTCAGTAAAATCTAGAAAATTTCATGACAAAAATTTTTTGTCAGGGAAATTAAGAAAATTGATACTTTTTTTCAATATTTTCAGTGTTTTCAATAACATATTTCCAAAAATTCAAATACATACAAAAATAATAATATTTTAGAATTATTTTTCAACATTTTGGGGAAAACAATCATGTTCAAAATTTTTAATTCAAATTCATCAAAAATTTAATTAGTTTTTTTTAAATTATACAAAAATTCTTTTGAGTAATTCAATTAGTTTCAGAAAATTAATTATTTGACTAATTATTGGAATTATTTTATAATAATTTTTAAATTTTAATTACCTTTGAACAATGTAAATAAAAATTTATTTGTATTCCTAGGAAGAATGTTGTATTTTACGAAAATAATTGTATTCTATGACCAATTTTATTTTCATTTTTCAAATTTATAAAAGCATTTTATCAAATTTTTTTTTAAATAATTGAATTCTCAAGAAAAATTTTATTAGTTATGAAAATAATTGATTTCAAGAGAAGAAGTTTATTCAACTTTTTTATTAATAATTAAATTCTGAAGAAGAATTGTATATTTAAGATAATTGAATTGTATATAGGAGAACTTTAAATTAACTAAATCTTGTAAAAAATTTTGTCAAAATTTTTCAAAATAATAGAACTTTTAAAATAATTTTATTTAAATTTTTCGAAATAAATGAATTTCTCAGAACTATTTTTTCAATTCTCTGAATATATTTGAATTCTTTGGAGAAACTTCATTAAAAAAATAAAAATAATTGAATTGATATACGAAGAAATTTATAAAAATTTGGTAAGTATTTGAGTTCCTGTTAAATTTTTATTAAAATTTTGTTCAAGTAATGGAATTCTTTTGGAAAATTTTATTAAAATAGTAAATATTAAAAATAATGGAAATGAGGAAAATTTTTGAAAATAATTGAATAATTGATATTTTCTAAAATTTCAAATTGAAACCTTTGAAGTTTATCTATTTATAAAGTTGTGAACGCAACTCTTTTGAAATCTAATTAATTTTGATATTTTTAAGTAAACTTATTACTTATAAATTATTTAATGAATAATAATTGATAGTTCTTCAAGAATGAAGTTACATAAAAAGAAATTATTGTTAGAAATAGAAAAAATTGAAGGGTTTGTATTAGAATTCTTGTCAACTTCATAGTTTATGAGGCAAACAAAAAAGACCCAAAAATTCCGAATTTTTTAATAAATTCTAAAAATTTAATTTTTTCCAGTACTTTTATTAAAAATTCTTGACTTTTCCCTGTCTTACCCTGACTTGTGGCAACCCCGCATTAATTGGTTAACAAGTAAAAGTTATAATTCGGACAAATATAAACTTGAATTGCGTAACTTTTTTCATCGAAGATATTTTTGTTGCGATTTAATATTGTCTAAAGAAAAAAAAAGTTTACCCAAAGTTCGCTCAAAAATCACTCGTTCTGTTTAAATTAACCATTTTTAGTCGCTAGAAAACTCTGAAAATATTTGACAAAAAAATTGTGTCAAATTGACATTATGATGTCACATATATAATATTAAAAGCATTTTAATATAGTTTTATTATACACAAACATAAAATTTTACGAGGCAAAAAATATAAAGTTAAATAATAGCATTCAATTATTATCTGGAAAATATTATATTTTTCATATAGTATTAGAATTTTTCATTAAAAACTAATATTTTGTAAATTGTGTATATACTGTCAAGATCAAAAAATTGCTACAGCATATGTTTCTTTAAATACAGTAAATACTACTTCTGGCTCCATCTAACATGTGTACGAAGAATCTTGTACACTGTTGGGACAAATGGTAAATGAAGTTAAGGCCTAACAGTAACATAGAAAGGAAACTCGCTGCTCAAAAAAAATTCTAACAAATGAACATTCTAACACTTGGGGAATCTAACAAATAAACGTTCTAACTTTTGGACAATCTAACAAATAAACATTCTAACTTTTAATAATTCTAACAAATAAACATTCTAACTTTTGGAAATTCTAACAAATAAATATTCTAACTTTAAGAAATTCTAACAAATAAACATTCTAACTTTTAATAATTCTAACAAATAAACATTCTAACTTTTGGTAATTCTAACAAATAAACATTCGAACTTTTAGAAATTCTAACAAATAAATATTCTAACTTTTGGCTATTCTAACAAATAAACATTCTAACTTTTGGAAATTCTAACAAATAAACATTCTAACTTCTGGCTATTCGAACAAATAAACATTCTAACTTTTGGAAAATCTAACAAATAAACATTCTAACTTTTAATAATTCTAACAAATAAATATTCTAACTTTTAGAAATTCTAACAAATAAACATTCTAACTTTTAATAATTCTAACAAATAAACATTCTAACTTTTGGTAATTCTAACAAATAAACATTCGAACTTTTAGAAATTCTAACAAATAAATATTCTAACTTTTGGCTATTCTAACAAATAAACATTCTAACTTTTAGAAATTCTAACAAATAAACATTCTAACTTTTAATAATTCTAACAAATAAACATTCTAACTTTTGGTAATTCTAACAAATAAACATTCTAACTTTTAATAATTCTAACAAATAAACATTCTAACTTTTGGAAATTCTAACAAATAAATATTCTAACTTTTAGAAATTCTAACAAATAAACATTCTAACTTTTAATAATTCTAACAAATAAACATTCTAACTTTTGGTAATTCTAACAAATAAACATTCTAACTTTTGGAAATTCTAACAAATAAACATTCTAACTTTTGGAAATTCTAACAAATAAACATTCTAACTTTTGAAATTCTAACAAATGGTTTTTCTAACTTTTAGAATTTAGGCCAAAATAAGGCGTCTCCAAATTTATATGCTGCCTACTAGCTGTGAGAGCGCCTTAAGACGCTCTCACAGCTCTGCATGCATGCCAATGCATGCATAGTTGTCATGGTAACACATGAGAGTAAGTAAGTCAGAAAATTCAAATTTCATGTTTTTTCTCTCTTATACTCTCATGCTGGCAGTCCTGGCAGTAGAGCTGTGCGAGCGCCTTTACGTAGGCTTCGCAGGAAATGTGTCATATTTTTGTAGGTTATGTTTCAGCGCCAATCGTGCCGATTAATAACATTAACAATTGAATTTTATTTTATACACAATAAATATAAATATAAATAATGGAAGGCGTTCAAGTAAGAATAATAAGTAATGAAAAGGTAAACAACACGTCATTTACTTATTATTAAGATATTTATTTATTATTCGGTTTGAAAATTAAATTTTGATGCACTTTTAAAATATGTTTTGTTGCTGTAAATCTTTAATATCCTAATATTTTTATCATTTTTATTTAATTAATCGATTAAAAATGTTAGACCTTTAATTATTTTGCTTAAAATAAAAGGGCAAAGGACTTTTTGCACTTGGTTCTTTTAAAGAAGGTGATACAATATTTGAGGAAAAACCATTTATTTGCTGTCAATTCTCTTGGAATGCTGAATACGGATATTCAGCATGTGATAATTGTTTAAAACCCCTAGAAACTGCTGAAGAGAATGTACGTCGACTTTCCGAAAAATCAAATATTATTTTACCCTATCCAGAATGTTGTGAGACTAAAAGCGAATTAATCACAGAATGTGAATTGTGTGGAGTAAAATATTGCACTCATGAATGCAAAATTCAAGCATTACAAAGGTAAATTAACAAACGAAAAATGCTATATTTTTTCATTCATGCGATTTTAATAATAATTTTCCAAATTATCTAGATTCCATAAAAGTCTTTGTTTACATTCGAGAAGTAAGAATCATCTTCATCCACTTGTGCAATTAAATGACACGTGGAAACAGCTGCACTACCCACCGGAAACAGCAACTGTAATGTTACTAGCACGAATGGTTGCATTAATTAATCAATCCAATGATAAAGATAACATTAGATCAATTTTCTCTCAATTTTGTCATCGAACAACAAATGAAACACAAGAAATAGCACACAATTTACTTGGCGAGAAATTCGTTGGTCAAATTGATATATTAAGAAAGACAATGCAAAGTGTTTTAAATGCTGAATTTGTACAAGACGTAAGTTAACTGAATACCTCAGTATTTTCTTTTCTTTTCTTTATTAAAAAAAAAATGATTTCTAGTGGTTTACGCCAGAAGGTTTCAAAAGTTTATTGGCATTAGTGGGCACAAATGGTCAAGGAATTGGTACAAGTGCTTTTAGTCGATGGGTTAAAAATGTTACGAATTTAGAATTACCCGATGATCAAAGAATGCAAGTTGATAAACTCATTGATAAAATTTACGACGACATGGAAGAAGGTAATTAATAATTTTTATTTCATGGAAAAAATAATGATGAAGGAATGTAATTTGTTTTTAGTTGTTGGCACTTTCTTGAATAATGAAGGCTCTGGATTGTACACACTTCAATCAACAATAAATCACAGTTGCTTACCGAATGCCGTTGTTGAATTTCCATATTCAAATAGTACTTTAGTCTTGAAGGCAATTCGGGATATTGAACCTGAAGAAGAAGTTTGCATCGCATATCTGGATGAATGTCTCCTGGAAAGAAGTAGACATTCTCGGCAAAAAGCTCTAAGTTCACAGTATTTGTTTATATGCCAATGTGCCAGATGTCTAATGCAAATTGAAGATCCTGACGTTACTTCCGAAGAAGATGATGACGATGACCATGAAGATATGTCAGATTAAATGGAAAAATATGAATTTTTATACGATTCAATTTCAAAATCATTTATACAGATTTTAATAAACAATTTTTTCTATACAAATTGACCAATATGTAATTTAAAGTAACCTAAAAGAAATTCTTCATTCTATAAACTTAGAATTAAGGAAAAATAACATTTAAAATTAAATTATTATTTAATTCTAATCTACATAATTTTACAAAAATTTACAATATTGAAATGACAGTAACACATTTTTTATTAGTACAAAACGTTAAATTTTAGTGAACACAAGCGAGTTATTCAAAATAAAATAAAAGTGCTTACATTACATCAAATCATCAAATTGATTTGTCGTCAATAAACAAAATTCACGTTTCCTCTAAATTCATAAAATTTCTTCCAGATGTTGTCCATTCGGATAAATAAGCCGGCATTGGCAATGGAAGGATTTTTTCCTTTATTATATTTTGTATAAAATTATTGATGTTTACGCTTTTGAAATCCCATCTAAACACAATTCAATAATAGTTATTATTGGTTATTACCAAGAATAAATGAAAATAATATTATAATTTAAATTATTAAACACTTACGCAACATTGAAATTATCTTGTGATTTTTCGAAGGACTCTTCGTCATACCACGCTGAATTTGCACATTGTAATGCTAATGTTTCCACTTGGGGTGGATTGGGTCCGAAAAATGTTTCAACATATTGTTTTCTATTTTTGGCTTGTGTGAAGTTAATACCCGTACTCCTTGAATTGTAAATAAAAAAATTGTTTTATTAAACAAAGTGTGGAAATATAGATAGAAACATAAAAAGGAATAGAAACATACGTGATCAATGGTTTGTGATCTTGATATGGCACGTCAGCAGTGACAGTATTAATGGCACCTTGCCTTTTCTGCCACATTAATTTTAGAAGTGACTTTATATTTTTCCCAAATAATTGAATACGTTTGCATTCATTATATCCCATGGTATTTGAAATTACTTTAATAAATGGGTTGGTCAAAGTTTTTTTCGAGCAGAAAAAATGATCGTGACCCAAAATTAGAGCAAAGAAAATTGTATTGAATCGATTAAATTTCTTTTGGTTTGGTTTTTCTCTTATTGCGACAAACATAAAACCATCATAAATTGCCGTATGTACGTCAGCATTTATATTACGTTCACGAAACAATTCCATTATTTCTGTTTCGATTTCACTTTTTGTCATAAAATGTACTTTTTCCTTGAGATTCAACATTTCAAAACTGTACCACGTTTTTTTCATATGGTGCCTACTGATGTCTAGAAAATAGAATACTGATGTCATCTTTTTACCAATAGAATAGAACAAGTATATGATAAATAAGAAAGAAGTAATGATTTTTAATATATTTACCCATTACTTCTAGTAATGAAAGCCGGCTTCTTAGATTCTTATTTGACAATTTGCAATCCTGCATACATGTAAAATAAAAAATAGTATTAAAGTCTTCAAATTCAATAGTAAATTAAAAATAATTTTATTAAAACTTACATCGATTAATTTTGATATTAATTTTGACACATTCAAAACAGACAGCCTTTGCTGATTTTCTATTAAATCGGATCTGATCTTTTTCCATGACGTTTCAGGAAAAAGTGGAACAACACTATTTTCTAATTCTTCAAATTTGAAATGTTTTATGACGTAAATTATTTGCCGCTTTTCATTCAACAATGCTAAAAGAAGAATAAGTATACATATTAATTTCAAATAAACTCATCATTACAAAAGAATTTTAAATTAATATTTTTTGTCATTAAATGCTTTAAAGTAAATATGGTAAATATAAAAGAATAGATATACGTTAAATATAAACCTAACCTATAAACAATGCATTTTAAACCAATTGATGACAGAAAAATGTAATTTTCTTGAAAAAAACGTACCTTCAGGCATAATGATGTACTTTTCCGAATTAAATTACAGCTGGAACATTCGTAAATAGAAGTAGTTTTTAAATTATCTACTTTAATGACATTGACAGACACTATTCATGTTGTGGCGGGGTCGGCGTTGACCGTGTTGACGAATTCACTGCACAATGCCAGCCATGCCAACTGAAAATCACGTGATTTTTTCCAATTCCCGCCAAGTCGCCATTAATGTATTTGTCATGTGCATTGTACAACAAACTCTATTGGTCTTCCAAAAGAAAACGTTTTCGTTATTGGTCGAATATTTTATATTTGTTTCCAATTATATTCAAAAAAGGTTTAAGAAAATTATAACAAAAACGTGATTAAATGGAATTAAATTTGTTTAAATTTAAAAAAGTGAAAGAAATTATTTAAAAATTTATCCAAACTTATAATAAGTTTTATAAGACAATGTTTGAATTGGTTTGAATTTAATGCATACAGATTTATATTTTTTAGAGAATATAAAGTGGTTGATTGCGCATGATCATGTTTCATATGTGTTGGAGGTTATAAATACAGGAGAAAATGTAACGGAGTGAAGTTGTCGCGTTGACTTTGTCGCATTATGGCGCGTCATGTTGATTACTCGAGGTTGCCGGTTGTTGTTTTATTTATTCTTTTATCGGTTCACCTAGCGAATGCTTTCGTGCTTCCTCAGGTTAGCACAAAGTCAAATTCCACAATAAGTAGAATAGATTTATCGAGTATTCGCATTTTACCTGTGAGTGAATCAAATGTGTCCAAGTTTGGTATCCTGGCTGAAGTTAATGGTACGAACCTTCACGCCGATCTCCAACTCATCTGGTCAGTAAATGAAAAGGATTGTGAAGCAAAAAATGAATTACGAAAAGTACAGGCTGCCAGCGATGCTCAGCGTGTTGTTTACGAATTCCAGGATAATCGTATCTTTGAGGTTAATGTGGTTTATTTTTGCACCAAGTATGTTACTTCAGAAAGTGAAATATCAAAGGAATGGATTAACTTGGGAAAAGATTTTTCCGTTCATTTCAAATCTAATGAGTAAGTTAATGGAAAATAATACTTTTTAAGGAAAATAATATGAAAATTGATAGAAACTTGAATCTTTTGCGAGAAAAAGAAATAAAACGCCCCTGCTTATAATCAATGGTTATGAAATACGAAATCTGACTTGCGGAATGTTTAACATGTCTATTTGATTTTTGTGCATTTATCTCCAGGTGTGCATTGTAAGAAATAATTGTCAAGTTAGATAATTTAATAGGATTCTAGGATTTATTTTATACTCTCTGAAGTGCTGAGAACGCGAAACAAAATTCTTTGTATGCCTCACTCGCCTCATTCGCCTCACTGTACTCGCTGATAAAGGCTATGAATGAAATCACTTTCGGTCTAAAAACAAACAAGTTTCTTTGTAGGTATCATTCATAAAGAAGGCAGCTCGATTTGTTTCTTCATTTTTATTCCAGGCACTAATTATATATATATATATATATATTAATATTTTTAATCGTTTTTAAAGAAAATAGAACAACATTTAGGAAACGCGTTTATTTTTTCTCTTTAATCATTTTACGAAATTGTGAGATATTAATTGATTCGTGATAAGAATAGTATTCATTAAACAATATTGCCCAACTTCTGAAGATTGATTGTTTAAAGAAAAATTATTTTAGCAGCAAGCAATTGACAATTTATTTGTTTCTGCCTAATTTTCAGAAAAAATAGAAAAACATAACTGATAAATTCAAATTCCTAGTTTAATTTACACGAAAACGTATAAATAAAGCCAAGGTTATAGCAGTGATTTTATATAAATAAACACTTAACTCCAGAATTTATTTATTTAGCCTAATTTTGTAATTTGAATGTTAGGACAGAAATTTATTTCATCTAATCCAAATTGTTTGAATAGAGATAAGTTGAATGACCCAGTCATATTAATAACTACAATGCAACACATGCTTCGAGTTCATTTCCTAAGCAATTATGAGTCATTAAAGAACAAAATTTTTGTGTTGTGGCTTGTGACTAACAAGAAATTTAATTTAATTTATTTTCTATTGTTATTTATAAAATACTCAACTTGTTTCAAATAACTTGTTTCAAGCAAAGTTATTTCGCCCGCATTTTATGTTAATTGACTTAATTAAGATATATGACATAAAAATAACCATCCTTTTCAAAATAGACAAGTAATTCTATTCAACTCGAATGTTATTCTAAAAATATGTAATAAATTGATTTTGACCGATTGCAATATACTTTGATATTATAAAAATTTTGCAGATAATAGGTTATCGATGTATCCGTAATATTACGCTCAAAAACTGGTTCATACCAGGTCAGTACTAGTAAAATCTCTCCAAAACGAATCAGAACTAGATTCAGTTCTAAACTTATATTTTTATTAAAAATAGCACCTACATTTTTCTTCAATTAACATTTTACGTGTGAACTGTGATAGTTATTCAAAAAAATGGCAAAATATAATTTATAGAAAAATGTATTTCAAACTTTGCTTGTACGTTTAATTTTACGTATATTATACTTGTCTCTTTGAATGAAGCGCTTAAATCAATATTATAATCAATATTATAATCAATATTATAACCCGTTTCATTAAATCCGTAATTATCTATTATAGATGAAAATTACGATAGCGCGAGTATTATATCATTTTAAAACGATAATTCACTATTTCTATACAAAATATATTTTCAATTTAATTTTAGAAAATGACTCAGACACATAGACTTAACCTTTGAGAGTAAAAGATTGGAGTAGACTGGGGAATATTGGCTGCGAGCCATTACTTTTTAGTATAATTTCAAGTCAAATCCTGTTATTTTCAATGTTTAAAAAAAGTAATAATTACGTCATTGTTTTATTTTACAAAAGAAAAAAAAATTTTTATACTAATTTTTTAAGCAAAATAGAGAAATATATTCTCTCTCGCGATATATTAATTATTTAGAACTTTAATAGATTTTTGATTATATTTATTAGTTTCAGGGGAAATATTATTCGATTTGAACAACATTAAAATTCAAATTTGTTCTCATTTTAAAAAATGTCCATGGAAAATTTAAAATAGAAAGCTTGAAAATTATTTTTTTCCAAAATAAATAAATTAATTAATTGAACAAAAATGTTTATTTTAAAGTTGTACGAGCTGTCCAACTTTAGATGAAAAAGAAAATTGAGAAATTTGAAAAAGTCATAACATTTGAATGTTAGAATTTAATCAATAAGTCTGTGGGTTTAAAAGTGTTTTGTTTGTTTGTGTGTGTGTGTGTGTTATCAACCCCAGAGCCTAGGAGTGCGAATGTGATGCCAAGGGGTGGCCTTGTTAACCTTGACCCATTTACATATACATATGTACATTAATTCTTTGAGTTTATAATATTTTTAACATTTCTTGAAGAATTTCTCTCAAGTGAGAGATAGTTTCCCTTCAGGTATAGGATAATCTCAGTTTTAAAAAAGCAAATAATGACATGATCTATGTACAAATTACTAATGAATTTTTTAGTCCATTGTAAACAATATTGTTTTTAAGAATTTTTATTCTAAAAAAATGCGTTTTAAAATAACTAACGACATATTATAGGTTTCGTAAGAGATATGATATAAAATAAAACTAATCTAACTCTTGTTTTGAAATTCGAATCTATCACATTCTTAATTAAGTGACTGAAATATTGTTTAATATTATACTAAATGGTATTTTCTAGAGAAAGAAATAGTAATAAATTAATATTAATAAAATTCCATGTGAAAATTGAAAAACTTTGTTTGCTCTATTTAATTAGCAATTATATAGTAATTTATTTTATTTACAGAGCTCGAACTAGGTCCGTAAATACCGTAAAAGTCCGTTTTTTAAAAAAAAGGTCCGTAAAGTCCGTAATTTGATTGAAAAAGCAATAAAAGTTTGTAAATTTAACAGAACACACTTTTATTAATTTTACTAGTCTTCTGTTACCTTTCACTGTTTATTTTTTGATAAAGCGTCATTTCACAATTAGTGTTCTTGACAAATTCATTGAATATTTATAATAATTATATTTATTATTATTTATGAAAATAAGGTGGCTACAATAACAAGAAACATAAAGAATCATGTGAACAATGGTTGTAATAATGTAAATAATAATACAGGATTGGATTTTAATTAAATAAATAATTTTTTTAATAACAAAACAAAAATGTTTGAAATTATCAGGAAAACAATATTAAAACGTCTAATTCTCATTGGAAGATAATTATTTTTCATTGGAAGTAAATATTTTAATGAAAAAAGCATTCTAATTAACTATAATAATCGTCGTATTCTGTCCATTCTGTCCAGTCTGTCCTGGTCTGTCCAGTCTGTCTACACTTGAAGTTAGACTATTGTGCATGCTTTTGTTTTTTTGATGAGACGCCTTATTTTGGCCTAAATTCTAAAAGTTAGAAAAACCATTTGTTAGAATTTCAAAAGTTAGAATGTTTATTTGTTAGAATTTCCAAAAGTTAGAATGTTTATTTGTTAGAATTTCCAAAAGTTAGAATGTTTATTTGTTAGAATTACCAAAAGTTAGAATGTTTATTTGTTAGAATTATTAAAAGTTAGAATGTTTATTTGTTAGAATTTCTAAAAGTTAGAATATTTATTTGTTAGAATTTCCAAAAGTTAGAATGTTTATTTGTTAGAATTATTAAAAGTTAGAATGTTTATTTGTTAGAATTACCAAAAGTTAGAATGTTTATTTGTTAGAATTATTAAAAGTTAGAATGTTTATTTGTTAGAATTTCTAAAAGTTAGAATGTTTATTTGTTAGAATAGCCAAAAGTTAGAATATTTATTTGTTAGAATTTCTAAAAGTTCGAATGTTTATTTGTTAGAATTACCAAAAGTTAGAATGTTTATTTGTTAGAATTATTAAAAGTTAGAATGTTTATTTGTTAGAATTTCTAAAAGTTAGAATATTTATTTGTTAGAATTATTAAAAGTTAGAATGTTTATTTGTTAGATTGTCCAAAAGTTAGAATGTTTATTTGTTCGAATAGCCAGAAGTTAGAATGTTTATTTGTTAGAATTTCCAAAAGTTAGAATGTTTATTTGTTAGAATAGCCAAAAGTTAGAATATTTATTTGTTAGAATTTCTAAAAGTTCGAATGTTTATTTGTTAGAATTACCAAAAGTTAGAATGTTTATTTGTTAGAATTATTAAAAGTTAGAATGTTTATTTGTTAGAATTTCTTAAAGTTAGAATATTTATTTGTTAGAATTTCCAAAAGTTAGAATGTTTATTTGTTAGAATTATTAAAAGTTAGAATGTTTATTTGTTAGATTGTCCAAAAGTTAGAACGTTTATTTGTTAGATTCCCCAAGTGTTAGAATGTTCATTTGTTAGAATTTTTTTTGAGCAGCGAGTTTCCTTTCTATGTTACTGTTAGGCCTTAACTTCATTTACCATTTGTCCCAACAGTGTACAAGATTCTTCGTACACATGTTAGATGGAGCCAGAAGTAGTATTTACTGTATTTAAAGAAACATATGCTGTAGCAATTTTTTGATCTTGACAGTATATACACAATTTACAAAATATTAGTTTTTAATGAAAAATTCTAATACTATATGAAAAATATAATATTTTCCAGATAATAATTGAATGCTATTATTTAACTTTATATTTTTTGCCTCGTAAAATTTTATGTTTGTGTATAATAAAACTATATTAAAATGCTTTTAATATTATATATGTGACATCATAATGTCAATTTGACACAATTTTTTTGTCAAATATTTTCAGAGTTTTCTAGCGACTAAAAATGGTTAATTTAAACAGAACGAGTGATTTTTGAGCGAACTTTGGGTAAACTTTTTTTTTCTTTAGACAATATTAAATCGCAACAAAAATATCTTCGATGAAAAAAGTTACGCAATTCAAGTTTATATTTGTCCGAATTATAACTTTTACTTGTTAACCAATTAATGCGGGGTTGCCACAAGTCAGGGTAAGACAGGGAAAAGTCAAGAATTTTTAATAAAA